AACACCATGCACGACTTTTCAAAATTTCCACCCGCGCGCGCTGTCCGAATCCCCGGGGGTGGGTTTTTAAAAGGCTTAACAACTTTTTGTGGGTTAACAAGGCTTTAACAACTTCTGTGGGTGTACGAACGTAGGCTTAACAACTTCTGTGGGTGTGTACTCCACGCCAGTGTAGTAGCCACGGTCGTCCGCAGGCCACGAAGTGAAGTGTCCGAACGTCATAGGGCGGGAAGCTGGGTGTGGGTGGTGGCGAAGAGTCGTGTGGATATTTGGTAGAGCTTGCACTGCCCCCCCACAAAGTGGGGGTATTGGCTGGCGTCGCATGAAAACCCTGGCACTGGTGAGAACACGGAGCGTTCGGGTAAAGTGATTGTTTGTTATTGTTGTTGTTGTTGTTGTTGAACATTATTACTTCCAAAGAATAATTATTGTTGGGGCCCCTGGTGCACGACCCCCCCGCCGCGCCTAGGCCGCAGCCACATTTTCATCATTTTCGCGAGGAAGTCTCAGGCAAAACGGGTTGGTCCGGATCCGGTTGTTTTGTTACGGCCCGCTTTCCCTTGCAAAAAATAAGCTAAAGTGGACATTTCTTGTTCTAACATAACCAAACTTCAAGAATCCCTTGCAAAAAATAAGGTAAAGTGGACATTCGCGCGCGCAAGACGAAATCCTTCCAAAAGCTTAGTGTTCGGAGCGATTTTAACATAAAACATCAAAAAACCAATGGTTTTTCAACAAAAAAATGTCAAAATCTCATCCCGCGCGCTCTTGCGGATTCGTAGGAAACCCAACACTTTTTAAACATTTCTGTCAAACGGGCTTTTGCGAGCAGCTTTTTCGAACTTCTGCGACAACGGTTGCGCACCTGCCAGGGCCATCATCCCTGTCAAATAATACCATGCGGGACACATTCGTTTTTTCTTCGCGCGCGCACGCCGTCGTCGTCGGCCGCGGGGCCCTGAATAGTAGCCACGGTCGTCCGCATGCCACGAAGTGAAGTGTCCGAACGTCATAGGGCGGGAAGCTGGGTGTGGGTGGTGGCGAAGAGTCGTTTGGAAATTTGGTAGAGCTTGAACCGGCCCCCCCACAAAGTGGGGGTATTGCCCGCCTCCTATGAAAACCCTGGCACTGGTGAGAACGGAGTGTCCCCACGTGCTAGTAATTGTTGTTGTTGTTGAACATTATTTATTCTAAAGAATAATTATTGTTGGGCCCCCTGGTGCGCGCCCCCCCTGCGCCGCCTAGGCCGCAGCCTACATTTTCATCATTTTCGTGAGGAAGCCTCAGAAAAGAGGGTGTGTACAGGATCCGGTTGTTTTGTTGTAATCCGCTTTCCCTTGCAAAAAACAATAGAAAATGACATTTCTTGTTCTAATATAATCAAATTTCAAGAATCCCTTGCAAAAATTAAGGTAAAGTGGACATTCGCGCGCGCAAGACGAAATCCTTCCAAAACCTTAGTGTTCGCAGCGATTTTAACATAAAAACATCAAAAAACCAATGGTTTTTTTCAACAAAAAATTGTCAAAATCTCATCCCGCGCGCTCTTGCGGATTCGTAGGAAACCCAACACTTTTTAAACATTTCTGTCAAACGGGCTTTTGCGAGCAACTTTTTCGAACTTCTGCAACAACGGTTGCGCACCTGCCAGGGCCATCATCCCTGTCAAATAATACCATGCGGGACACATTCGTTTTTTCTTCGCGCGCGCACGCCGTCGTCGTCGGCCGCGGGGCCCTGAATAGTAGCCACGGTCGTCCGCATGCCACGAAGTGAAGTGTCCGAACGTCATAGGGCGGGAAGCTGGGTGTGGGTGGTGGCGAAGAGTCGTTTGGAAATTTGGTAGAGCTTGAACCGGCCCCCCCACAAAGTGGGGGTATTGCCCGCCTCCTATGAAAACCCTGGCACTGGTGAGAACGGAGTGTCCCCACGTGCTAGTAATTGTTGTTGTTGTTGTTGTTGTTGTTGTTGTTGTTGTTGTTGTTGTTGTTGAACTCTCATTTCTGAAGAATAATTATTGTTGATCCCCCCTGTCCGGTGCCCATTGTTTTTTTCAATTGAAGTGCTTCCTCCGGGGCTCGCACCCTGTTTTTTGACAGGGAAAGCCTTGCGGATCAGATTGCGTTGTTGGGCCCCGGACTACAACAACAATGGCTCCCGCCTGAGACCTCCTCACAATTTACTCAGGACCCCCGCTCCCGCTTGAGACTTCCTCAAAATTTACTCCGGCAGGGCGCTCCCGCTTCAGACTTTCTCACATTTTACTCAAAAGCGGCGCTCCCGCTTGAGACTTCCTTCATCAGGACCCTTGCTCCCGCCCGAGACTTATTCATAATTTATTCAGGAATGGCGCTCTTGCTTAGGACTTCCTCGCAATTTATTGCAGCATCGCGTTCTCGACGCTCAGGAACCACGCTCGCGCCAAGGACGCCCTCGCAATTTACTTAGGAATCGCGCTCTCGCTTAACACTTCCCCGCAATTTACGAAAAAATCCAGTTTGAATGTCCCGCCCGCCCGACCCGCCCGCCAGGGTCCGCCCGCCCGACCGTCGCCCCCGCCTGAGACGTCCGACAATGTACTCGGGACCCCCGCTCCCGCCCAACTCTTCCTTGAGGAATACGCCCTCGCCTAGGACTTCCTCGAACGTTCACACTCTTACCCTCCTGCCCATTCCTCCCCATCCAACCTCCCTCCTCCCCCCCCTCTCCCTCATATCCACCCTCCTCCTTCCTCTTCCTCTCTCCCCACACCCTCCTCCCATAACACTCCTCCCTCCTCTCTTCGCCCTCCCCTCTCCAGCCTCCTCCTTCCTCCCTCCTCTGTCTCTCTATCTCCAATCGTCCCCCCCCCCCCTCCTCGCCCCCTCTCTCCTGGCGTGTTCCCCTTTAGCCTCGTCCCTCCCCCTCCCTTCCTCCCACTCTCCCTCGTTCTCCCCCTTCCTCTTCTTGCAGGGCCCGCGCTAATTCCAATGGTGGGCAAAGAGATGCGTGCCCCATCCTCCGAATAATTCCCGCCCGTTCACGCCCGCTTGTGCAAGCCCGCCCGCCCCCGCAAAAAGAAAGAATCCCCCCAGAAGGGGGTACGCTCGAAGACGAAGGGGGCGGGTATCGAGGGCGTGGGTATACACGTTGCATGGCACGCGGGCAAGTAAGAGCGAACAGTCTTAAAATGATTGTTGTTGTTGTTGATGTTGTTGTTTCACATCGTCCTACTTCTCCTCATCATCCTCCTCCTCCCTCTTCCTCCTCCCCCTCCTCCTCTTCCTCCTCCTCCTTCTCCTTCCTTGCATTTGCACTCCGCCCGCCGCTGGTGCCCACCGCCGCCGCCGCGCCCCCACCCCCCTTCAAGCTCCGGTGCCTTCCTTCGACTACGCGTCATGAGTGGTCCTTCACAGGAGGGACCTTCTCCGTGCGGGCTCAGCGGGGTCCCCCCGACCGCCGAGCTCGATGCGACAGCAGCTGCCCGCGCGCTTAGATTTGGTTACCCTTGCGCCAAAGGTTACTCTTGCCCAGGGTCGCTCTTGCGTGTCGCCGATTCTTGCCCAAGGCTGCTCTTGCCTAAAGCCACTCTTGCGCCAAAGGTTACTCTTTCCTAGGGTCACTCTTGCGTGTAGCCGATTCCTGTGCGCGCGGGCATCACCCTACTTGGCCACCCCGCGCCGAGGCGCGCACCGGCTGCGGTCCCTGCGCGTAGGGAGTTCGCCCTGAGGCCGAAGCACTTCAGCGGCCTCTATCGTGTTCGGCTGTTGTTCGCAGCTGGGGGCAGAGCGGCCACCGCCGCACTGCCACCGCCCACCGCCGCTGGCGTGAAGTCGGGCCTGTCCTTCTACAGGGGGAGTATTCCAAATATTGTCGAAAAATTGTCTGTGGACGTTTTTTGAGATTATTTTTGACCATGTGTGGCCATTCAGGCGTTTTTGTTGTGTATGGCATATATCTATGTAGAGACACACACATACATATATATATATATATATATATATATATATATATATACAAGACTGCAGTGGCGCTTCGCGCCATGCACCTTGGTCCTTGAAGTTTGGTATGCAGGCGGACTAGCGGGAAGGTCAAGCCGACAATTTAGCGATAACTCCTTTTCCAGCATCGCCGTTATAATAATGTTATTCGTTATCTTTCCTTTGTGCTTCTTATTCCTAATTTTCGCCATGCCCTGCGCATTCTTCCCATCCTCCTCAGCTCTTTTTGCGGAGGCTCCTCCTTGGAGAGCCTCTGGGGGCCTCATGGGCGTGTTCTGGAGGCTTTCTTAAGGCCTTCTGGAGGCCGCCTGGGCGTGTTCTGGGGGTTTCTGGGGGTTTTGTCGGGCCACCCTGCCTCCAACCGCGGTCTCCCTGAACGACCGGGTCACGATTTGGAATGCTTGGGAGGGTGCCTTAGGGCCATCTTGGGCCGCCATGGGGCTCCCTGAGGGCCATCTTGGACCCCTGTTGTGCCGTTTTGGGGCTCTCTTGGACTGCCTGGAAGCCCTTTCGGATGGTTGTGGGGCGATTTTGGAGCCTCCCAGGCGGCTTCGGACGCCCAGAAGACCGCCGTCTTGGAGCGTCGGGAAGCCGAAAAGAGGAGAACCCCAAAATAAGCCATAAACCAACAAAATCAAGGATTTTCGCCTGTTGGAGCCTTCTTGGGAGTGTTCTTGGAGGCCTCTTGGGACGTTTCGGGACGATCTTTGGGGGTATGACGGCTTCTTGGGGGTCGTCGTCGATCGTATTGGGGCTCTCTGGGGTTGTTTCGGGAGCGCGCCACGTCCTGCGAGGCCCTGGGGGCCGCTTCGAGGCCCGTCCGGAGGGTCCCTAAGCCCCAGATCCCGGGAGTTCGTTTTTTTTTGGGGGGGGGATTGGTTTTCCCCCCGCCCGGGCTTGTAAAAATATAGAAAGAGGAATATATGTATATATATATATATATATATATATATATATATATCCAACATCAAAATCCCCCTGTAGGGGGCCAGGCCCGACTTTACGGCGGGCGCCGCGCAGGTCTACATCCTCAGCCTCTACTGGGCGGCGGGCCGCCCAGCGCCCCCTTGCGGGAGGGGTGCGGGGCTAGTCGAGGCGAGTCCTTGCTAGGCCTTTGTGGGCCCCGGAAACGGTAGGGCCGTTTTTGCACCGTTTTGAAAAAAATGTCCCTTGAAAATGGAAACGGATAAAAAACTGTGACCGGAAGCGGCAAAATAACGGCTCCAGGATTGGAACCGGAGCCGGAACCGGTCAAAAAATAGCGACGGAACCGGTAAAAAAACGGCGTCGGAACCAGCAAAAAAACGGCAACACGGAACCAGTAACAAAAACGGCCTTGTCGTCTCCAGGGCCCACTAAGTGCTAGGCTCGCGCAGCTGATTCCACCCCAGACATCGGGCGTCTCGAAAAAATCGAGACGAAGGTTTTTCGTCGTTTTCGGCCTCCCGGGGCCCTCGCCGGGCCTCGGGGCCGTCAAAAAACGTCTCGGGACGAAGAGCTGGTCCCAGGGAAGCGGTCGGGAGGTCGGGGGCCCGCGTCTCGAAAAAGTCGAGACGTCGGATGTCTGGGTCGCGCAGCTGATTCCACCGCTGGCTGGTCGGATCAAACACCGCACTCGACTCGCCAGCCAAAGGATGCTAGAGCTGGGCCCCAACTGGTGCACGGGCTGGCGCTGGCTGAGAAAAAACAGCACTGGCATGAACATTCGGCACGGGCGCCCAGAGAGGGAGGAGAAGGGAGGCGGAGGGATACAGCATGCAGATAAAACATAGGGCACCGGCATACCAGCAGGACTGTGCCCCCCCCCGTGCCCCAGGGACAGTGTTTCGCCCTGGATCCGTGTTTGATGGTCCTGGGGCCCTGACAAGGTGCCCCCGAGGGCCGAAAGCGAGGAGCGACGCTCGGAACGAGCACATCGTGTCGCTGGATATCTGGGGCTCCGTGGCGGTGGCTGCGGGAAGCAGCAAGCCACGCCTGGCCTCCACCCGTCGCCGGCAGTGCGACCGTCCGAGTCTGAGGGGGCGGCCACGAGGGGGTTGATGACTAGGGGGCTGGATGTCATGGCCGAGGCCATGATGCCTCCCTGGATTTCATGTGGCCCCCTTCTGCTTTTTGTACGTTCCCCGGCCTGCCCCTCGGCCACGCTCTAGTCCTGTTGCCCTGATCTGCCCACAGGTCAGTGCAGCAGCCAGCTTCCCTCTGCTGGCTTCGTCCCGCGAGTGCTGGTTCACCGGGAACAAAATGTCTCCCTCCTCCGCTCGTCCGCGCACACGAGAGACGCAACGGGATCGTCTGCGCCGACATTGGCGCGCAGGCTGCCCGCGTCCGGGCGCGGGTAATGCCCTCGTCTCCAGTGTGGTGTGCCGCGCAGGCGGCCCGCGTATAAGCTGCGGCGTAAGGCCGCGATGCCATCTGGCGTGAGACCCTTTTTGATCGTCCCCGCACATGCCTCGGGCCCCCTCCTCCGCCTCCTCCTCCTCTCCTCATCCTTCTCGTCCTCCTCCTCCTCCTCCTCCTCCTCCTCTTTCTCCTCCTCCTCCTCCTCCTCCTCCTCCTCATCATCATCATCATCATCTCTCATCCTCATCCCTTCCCCCCTCCTCCTTCCTCCTACTCCTCCTTATGGGACCGGCCCCGCGGCCAAACGTTGGCCAGAGCCTGGCACCAGTTGCTCCTCCTCCTTCTCCTCTCCGCCTCCTCCTTCTCCTCCTCGGCCTCCGCCTCTCCTCCTCCTCCTCCTCCTCCTCCTCCTCCTCCCTCCTCCTCCTCTCCTCCTCCTCCTCCTTCTCCTCCTTCTCCTCCTCCTCCTCCTTTCCTCCTCCTCCTCCTCCTCCTCCTCCTCCTCCTCCTCCTCCTCCTCCTCCTCCTCCTCCTCCTCTCCCTCCGCCTCCTCCTCCTCCTCCTCCTCCTCCTCCTCCTCCTCCTCCTACGCCTCCTCCTACCTCCCCCCTCCCCCTCCTCCTGCCCCTCCTCCTGCCCCTCCTCCTCTTGGACGCCCCCCCTTCTTGGACGCTCCCGAGTCGACGGGCGACGGCCGCTGCGCTGCAAAGCAGCCCTCACGTTGCACCCTCGGGGGGGCCCTCGCCTGTCCCCCAAAAGTAAGTGTCTTGTCGTATGCCCGACGCGGGCCCGATGCGGACTCGACGCGGCTTTGGCGTGGATCCGACGGGGCTCCGGCACGGCTTCGGCGAGTCCGACGTGGACTTGGAACGGGTTCGACGTGGCCGGGCCCGTGACGGGACAGTCGAGGCCCCCCCGAAGATGCAACAGAGCCTCCCGAGGTTGGGCGACCAGCGAGAACCCTCGAAGCCGCCGAAAACAACGAGGCACCTACGTTTCAACTCTTTGTCGGTTCGATGGAGGTCGGGGGTCGGCCACACGTAAGAACGCCCTTTGGTCGGCGTGGCAGTCGGTGCGGGCCCAATGGGGCCCCCCGATCGATGAATGCGATGCGACAGCAGCGGCCTGCGCGCCTGCGCGCCTGGTGCCCCCAAGGGGCCCGCCCCTGGGCCGCGCACCGGAGGCCACTCTTATGCCAAGGGCCCCTCTTGCGCATAGCCGACCCCGGACCTCCAACGCACAGACAGGAGTCCAGGCGGAGGGCTCTCGTGCCTTCCGGCGGTTGCGAGCGAGGGCTATATATTTCGCCCCAAATCCCCCCTGCCCCCCCCTCCCCCTCCTCCTCCTCCTCCTTCTCCCTCCTCCTCCTCCTCCTCCTCCTCCTCCTCCTCCTCCCCCTCCTCCTCCTCCCTCCTCCTCCTCCTCCTCCTACTTCTTCTCCTCCTCCTCCTCCTCCTCCTCCTCCTCCTCCTCCTCCTCCTCCTCCTCCTCCTTCCCTTCCTCCTCCTTCTCTAGGGGGATGCGCCCGACGTATCAGTTCGCCGTCGTCGGCGTCTGAGGGCCCACGCCGGGCCCCAGGGCTGCCACGGCACGACCGGGTGCGGAGGCGGACGCAGCGTCGCGGCGGTGCGGGGGTCACCCGCGCCAGGGCCCCTGGAAGGGCCCTGGTGAGGGGAAGGAGGAGGAGGAGGAGGAGGAGGCGGAGGAGGAGGCGGAGGAGGAGGAGGATCGGGCCGGACGAAAGGGGATGGATTGGGAACGGGGGGGGTACGAAATTTGCTGCATGCAGCTGGTTTCGGCCCCACCGAGGGGCCCATTCCTCGGTGCAGAGTCGCCTCCGGCGCCGGGAGGCGCCGGGAAAATCAGCTACGTGAGGTTATTCTCAACCCCCCCCTTTGCTATCCCCCCCTTTCGCCCGACCCGAAAGGCTGCCAGGCTCGCTGAGAAGCATGTGTGAGGCCGATCCGAGACATTGCCGAGAGACGTGGCGTGCGGACCGCGCCTGCACGCGCTGGACCAAAAAAAACAAGCCAGGACGAAAGACGGGCCCCCAGGAGGCGGTCCAGAGTCCAGGCGGTGGTCCAGACTGCCTGGAGCGTGTTTCTGTATCGCTTGGGGCACAATGGACACTACAGCCCCGGGCCCCCCCCTCCTCCCCCCCCCTATTTACGTGACGCCCCTCCCCCCCCCCCAGTGCGCTTCAGGCACTGCCGCCGTGCGCACGGCGGGGGGGAGGCGTTTATTTTGTACCCCCCCCTGGCCACCCCTCGCCACCCCCCTCCCCTCCCATTGTACCCCCCCCTGGCCCCTCGCCCCCCCCCCCCCCCCTCCTGTAATGCCCCTTTATCGCCGAAAGTAAACAAAAATGCGCTCCTGGGGCTCTCCGTGTTGGAAAAGCCAGACGTCGGCGCCGGAGGCTCGGTTCCTGCAGGCGCCGAAGTGCTTTCTCTCGGGCCCGCGGCGGAGGAGCTGCCGCTCTCCGCGGCGCCACTTAAGGGGGGCCATGGCCACACCCACTGAGGGCCACCTCCTTCTGCAATTGGCCAGGAGTTGCCACTTTCCCAGACCCCCTCGAGTCATGAAAAAATCACGACGGGAGGTTTTTGGCCTTTGGGGGCCCTTACGGGCCCTCGGGACCGTCAAAAAACGACTCAGGACGAAAAACCGGTCCCGAGGAATGGGTCGAGACCTCGTGGGGTCGACGTCATGAAAAAATCATGACGTCGGGGATTTGGGTTGGGGCCTCCCCAGAAAATCCGACGTCTCGATTTTCTCGAGACGCGGGCCCCCGCCCTCCCGACCACTTCCCCGGGACCGCTTTTTGCATCCCGCGCCGTCTTTTCGACGGCCCCGAGGCCCGGCGAGGGCCCCTGAGAGGCCAAACATTTAGAATGGCCTCCGTCTGGATTTTTTCCATGCGTTGGCTCTCTGGGGTTGCCACTCTGGGGCCTTTTTTCGGGCACTGCGGCGCTGCCCGCATCGGGAAGGGGCTGGCTTCGCCGCGTCGGCGGCCAGAGTGCGCGTCCAGCGGAGCGCGGGGCGTGCGTGCAGGAGGCGCGTGCCCCGCAGGAGGCCTCAGACCCTGGGGCTGCTTATCTCGGGGGAGGGCGGCGGTGATATTCTCGATGTCTGTTCATGGGAGCCTTGGGCGGCGACGCTGAAAGCAGCTGTTCCTGCATTTGGGCCGCGTAGGCTCCGCATTTGGCCCCTCCTCCTGCTCCTCCTTTCTCCTCCTGTTGCCTCTCCTCCTCCTCCTCGTCGTCCTCCTCCTCCTCCTCCTCCTCGTTCTTCGACTCCCCGCGAATCCACCCCAAATCTGGTCAACATTCGTTCCAAATCCAGTCCGAATCAGGCCCAAATCGGACAGCGCCGGGGCCATGCAGGCTCCCATGGAACGGACGGGCATGTCCCTCTACAGGAGGAATCTTGAGAAACAGTCCAACAAACATCGAATGGGGACGATTTGTCCAGTATTTCTGAGCATGTTGTTGCAACATTTATTTTACTATGTTTGATTTGTCCTCCAAGATCTGCCTGTAGGGGGACATGCCCGACCTAAGGCCAAGCCTCAAGTGGCGTTCCACCGGCTTTCAGACCCTGGATTCCTTGTCCAAGGGCTTCATGCCCAATGCCTATGGTGGGCGTGAGTGACAGACGGCTGCTATACTTGGCATTCCTACAGAACCTCTGGCCGATGCCCTATACATACCGCCACGCTGGTCCCTGGGGCGGACCGTTCGTCCTGAGTCGTCTTGTTGACGGTCCCGAGGCCCAGCGAGGGCCCCCGGAGGCCGAACTCAGCCCCCCCAAACCGCCCGCTCCGGTTCTGGGGCGGCTCGCAAACCCAGACATCCGACGTCTCGATGTTTTCGAGACGACCTCCCACGCCGCGCGCTCCATGGAGTCCACTCGGCGCGCCTGACGGGCCTTCTCTCTTTCGAAATGCCCTCCCCGCATCCGTCGGTGGGGCGCTGGAGATTCAGAGCCCCGAATCATCAGGGGTAACTCGGGTCAGGGCTAACTCGGGTTCGTTTTTCCGGATTCCGAACCCGAGTTACCCCGGACCCGACTTACCCCGGATCTACCCCGGATAGTTCGGGCGCCCAAGAGATCGACGGGGTTGGGCCCCCCTGATCGGAGCAGGGGCGGCGCGACGGGCGTTGGAGCTCCCGAAGAGAGCCGCATCCGTGAGCGGAAGCACTCCCAGACATCCGACGTCTCGGTGTTTCCGAGACGCGGGCCCCCGCCCTCCCGACCACCTCCCCGGGAGGCCGACAACGACGAAAAATGTTCGTCCCGATTTTTTCGAGACGCCCGATGTCTGGGTTCCCTTGTTGCGGGCGGCGCAGAGGAGGGGGCCGCTGACATCCTGCCAAGCTTCTCCTGCGCCTCTCCCGGATGCCTCCGTCATCGGGCGGCCGAGGACGCCCCTCCCACGGCTCGCTTCAAGCCGGGCATGTCCGAGGAAAATTCAAAAAGAGATTTAACAAATTAGTCTGGGGACGGTTTTTCTGTCATTCGTCCACTCTTTTCGACAATTGTTTGATCGTTGTCATGTTTTACTCAAAATCCGCCTGTAGGGGGACACGCCCGACCTAAGGCTCGCCCTGGCGTGTGCGGAGGGCCCGCCCCAGACACCCCGGCGCCTCGGCAGCAGCCGGAGGCCCGGGCTCCCTGGCGCCAGGGCTCCGCAGGCTCGGGCGCTCGGCAAACGCCAGCGGGAGCACGACTCTTCGCCAGCCTGGATGCGCTACAGTGGAGGCCCATGCCAAGAGACACCCTCCATGCCTCCGGGGTGCCCTGGGCTGTCTTGGGCGTCGATGCCTGTGCCATGGAGAGCGTGGCGCTCCCGCGCCAAAAAAGCCACGGACGTCCTGGGGCCTCAGGGTTGGGTTCCTTGTGGAAGGTTTCTTGTGGTCGGGCCTCCACTGTACACACTGTTAATTTCCAATTTTTCGAAGGTTCTTTGATTTTGGTTGGGGGGCCAAGATCATTTCATTTCTAATTGTTCTATCCTGGGCCTCTTTCTGGCCACTACGTAGGGGGCCAGGAGCAATCAGATACGAGCACACTTAGAAACGAGCACGACCAGACAGGAACGACGTTGTCCATGATTCGGCCGTCCTGGGGCCCTCTTGGGACGTGCTGTGGCCCTCTTGGGCCGTCCTGGGGCCCTTGGGCCGTCTGGGGGCTCTCCTGTCCCACTCCTGAACCCGCCCCCCCGCTCAGGTGCACCCTCCTCCCTCCTCCCTCCTCCCTCCTCCCTCCTCCCTCCTCCCTCCTCCCTCCTTCCTCCTCCTCCTCCTCCCTCCTCCCTCCTCCCCCCTCCTCCTTCTCCTCCTCCTCCTCCTCCTCCTCCTCCTCCTCCTCCTCCTCCTCCCTCCTCTCTGCCCCCTGCCCCCGCGCTGGCCTGCGCCTCTGCGCTCCGCGCTTGCGGCTGTCCTCTGGGGCTCTTGGCTCCCCTGCTGCCCCCGCTCCGCGTCCTATCCTGCCGTCGCCGCGGGCCCCCGCCAAGGGGCCGCCGCGAGGGGCGTCCGGCCCAGAAGGGAGAGCCCAGGCATCGGGCGTCTCGAGAGACTCGAGACGAAGGTTTTTCCTCGGTTTCGGCCTCTCGGGGCCCTCCTTGGGCCTCGGGGCCGTCAAACAACGACTCGGGATGAAGAACTGGTCCCGGGGAAGCGGTCGGGAGGTCGGGGGCCCGCGTCTCGGAAACGCCGAGACGTCGGATGTCTGGGAGTGCTTCCGCCCACAGATGCGGCTTTCTTGGGAGCTCCAACGTCCTGGTTCCTGTCAGGGGTCCCTGCTCACAGGGGCCACGAGTCGGCCCGCTTCCTCGCAGGCTTGCGCCTCCGGGAGTCACGGGGGCACGAGCAGCGGGCGATTCCGGATTTGAAGGCCGCCCCAGGAACTGGTCGAGAGCGTCTTCCCCAGGCATCCTGCGGCCTAAACAAGATCGCGACGGCCTGTTTTGTTCCAGCGTCGTGGGGCTTCTGAAAGACTGGCTGGTCTGGCCCCATGGTCGCCAACAGAAAGCTCTGGATACAAAATGCACGGGCAAGGTGTCGAGAGATTCCGGGTCCAGAAGGCCATACGTTTGTGCCTTCGTCGTCCTCATCTTCATTCTCGTTCTCCTCACGGTTTGCCTTTGCGCGACCGTCGGGTCACACGTCTGCTAAGTGAGCACGCTTTTTCGTCGTCTTACGAGCAGGCGTTCTTCGACATGATCGCGTCTGGGATCTGTCAAATATCTTGGTCGTCGTCGTCCTCCTCCCCCTCAATCCGCAACTCCTGCTCTTCATGGTCCGCACCCTTCGCATATATTTTAGGATAATGAGAAGGACCAGACGAGGAGGAGGAGGAGGAGGAGGAGGAGGAGGAGGAGTAGGAGGAGGAGGAGGAGGAGGAGCAGGAGGAGCTTACGTCTGCATGATACTTCGGCCGAGAGAGAGACAGAGATAGAGAGAGAGAGAGAGCAGGAGAAGGAGAGGAGGAGAAGGAGGAGGTGGAGGAGGAGGAGGAGGAGAAGCCTGGCCAAGGTCGCGACGCTGACCAGCATTGGCTACGGTGACATTGTACCCAACAGTCTCACCGAGCACACCATCTGCATTTGCTGCGCCTCGCCCAGCTGGCCCGGGGCGGGAGGAGGGCGAGGAGGAGTAAGAGGAGAAGTGTAGGGGGGGGTACCGAGGAGGATCATGAGGAGAAGGGTGAGAAGGAGGTGGCGGGTCCTTGCCTGGTGCCCACATGTACGCCCGCGAGGACCTCTCTACGGACCGTCCCAGAACGACGCGGGGCGAAAGACTGGCCCCGGGGAAGCGGTCCAGACCTCCGGGGCCCACGCATCGGCAAAAGTGGGGCAGCCGGATGTGGCCCAGCCCTCCTCGCGTGCTTGCTGCAAAAGTCAACGCGGAGGTTCCTCGTCGTCGTTTTGCTTCAGCGTCCGGGGGCCCCCGCGTGGCTGCCGTCAGCAGATGATCCGGGGCGATGATCCAGTCCCCGGGAGCTTTTCCAGAGCTCTGGGGGGGGCTCCTCCTCCTCCTCCTCCACCTCCTCCTCCTCCTCCTTCCTCTGGCTCCTCATCCTCCTCCTCCTCCTGCTCATGCTCCTTCACCTCATCCTCCTCCTCCTCCTCCTCCTCCTCCTCCTCCTCCTCCTCCTCCTCCTCCTCCTCCTCCTCCTCCCCCTCCTTCTCCCCTCCTCCTCCTCCTCCTCCTCCTCCTCCTCCTCCTCCTTCTCCTCCTCCTCCTCCTCCTCCTCCTCCTCCTCCCCCTCCTCCTTCTTCTCCTTCTCCTCCTCCTCCCTCCCTCCTCCCTCCTCATCCCTTCTCCCTCCTCCCTCATCCCTCCTCGTTAAATCAAAAACAAAGCATTGGATTCTTGGGGAGCAGGAGGTTGTCGCCGCCGAGGCATGCTGGTGATGGCAAGCCTGTGGGCGTACACCATCGGCGCCATGTGCAGCGTCGTGTCGACGATGCGCCCGCACGAAAACATCTTCCGGCAGAACATGGAGATCTGGGGCGAGAGGAGCAGGAGGTCAGAGGAGCGAGCAGGTACACGAATCATACGTTTCAGCATCTGTGTTCTTGTCGCCCCGCGCGGCCAGAGATGGCTGGCCGAGCACGAGTGGCGGAGGGCCGCAGAAAACTCCGGAGCTCCTCGAAAGCACCGTGAGCCAATCGGCTCATGACGACAGTCTCGTCCTGGGAGGGAGACACGGTGCAAACATGGGTCCTATAGCGCGTGGATCTGCGGCGGGTCGCGTTTACGTGCGCACCCGGCATTAGCATCATGTGCATGAGGGTACCTTCCTCGATCTGTGGATCCGGCGCTCACGCGCCAGATCCACGGATCCCAAGTCCTTGTGAGTGTGTGCCTGATCGGAGGGATGAGGAGGACCAGAATGGCCAGGGAGTCGGAAAAGGACAGAGGAGGACAGAGGAGGAGGAGGAGGAAAGAGGGAGGGAGGGAGGGAGGGAGGGAGGGAGGGAGGGATGGAGGGAGGGAGGGAGGGAGGGAGGGAGGGAGGAGGAGGAGGAGGAGGGAGGGGGAGACAGGCAGGAGTAGTGCCCAGCCTCCAACCTTGAACCTGCGTTGCGTTGCTCGGGCCTTGTGTTGTGCCACCTGCTGGTGGTGTCAGTACTCCGTCTTGTAGAAGGTGTCTTGCACCTGGCTGACCTGATGGGCCCGCGCACCCGCGCGAGCAGACCGGTCCACATGACGCCAAGAGGTTGTACGTGCAAGATGCCCAAGCCCCCGTATTAGGACAGCTTCTTGTGGATGGGGCCCAACAGAAACGACGAGGGCGACGCTCCTGCACTGCCGCTCGAATGTGTCGCCACACAGTGGCATACGTAGCCTTTGCGGACTTCCGATCTGCAGACCAAGCCAAGCAGTTCTGGACAAACGAAATCTAAATAGCCGAGCAGCTGAGTTGCCATCCAAACTCTTGACGAACATCAGTATCAATAGGCATAGGACAAAAAACCCAAACAACAGCAGCGCCGACGCCAGCACTGACGCCTAAACGGATTCCAGCGCCTGCACTGGCACCAACGACAGCGCCTACATCAGCACCAATGTCCTCACCGACATCAGCACCAACGTCGACGACTACTCCAGCACCAACGTCGACCCCTACGCCAGCACGACGCCTACGTCTACTCCCGCGCCGACCTGCTTGGCGGCCCCCGCGCCGACCAGCTCACCAACTCCTACACTGAACAGCATACCGACTCCCACGATGAACAGCATGCCGACTCCACGCCGACCAGTTGACCCAATTACACACCAAGCAGCTCGCCGTCCCCCGTGTCGAACAGTTCACCGACTCCCACGCCGACCAGCCTCTTGATTCCTGCGCCGGCCAGCTCGCCGACTCTCGCGCCTGCCATCTGCTGACTCCCGCACCGACCAGCCGATTCCCGCGCCGATCGGCTCACCGACTCCCGCGCCCACTAGCTTACCGACCCCCGCGCCGATCAGCCCACCGACTCCAGCGCCGACCAGATCACCGACTCCAGACTCGACCAGTGTACCGTCTCTCGCACGGACCATCTTACTGACTCCCACGACGACCAACCCCCATTTGAGCCAGAGGATTGCGCCACGACTGTGAAGCAGGAGCAGCCGCACCACGATTGTGACGCAGTAGAAAGTGCCACACTCTGTTGGTGCCATTGTTGTTGGCCTCCTTCACTCTGCTTCCACCTTCACCGCATCCTGGATGAGCACCGCGTCGATGGCCAGCACTGTTGCACCTAGCTGGCCACGGTGTCCACCAGGGAAGGGGGGCGCGTTTTGTGAATCTCCGTCCTGGCAGCGTGGCCAATACCACCGAGAGCATCGACTGTATCGTCACCGATTGCATGCTGCGTGCCACGCCGGAGTCGAGCATTCGATCAGACTCTCAACCAAACTCTTATTCCATATGCAACTCCGGCTACAACTCCGACGCCTGCGTGGTCACATTTACCCGGCCAGCTGCGGGGACGTCGCCCTGGCCGACCTGACAGAGCATCGATGGTAGTGCATGACGGCCGGACCTGGGCTGTGCTACGGCGTATTCCCCCCTCCACATCAGAGGTGAGCATCGCGTCGTGTCCGACCCCAGTTGCTGTCTTGCTTCAGTTTCGTATGTGGAACCACTTCCGACGCCGATGTGGTGACTTCCTACCTGGCCAGAAGCGTGCGCCATACTCTGGATCGCAGCACCGTGGCTCTGGCGGCCGTCCCGGAAATTACATGAGGGTATTTTTGGCTGACGCGTACCCCCGCCCTCCTCTCTTTGCTCTCTCCGCTGTGTCCTGCGCTTCTAGCTCGTGCATGCGCTCTGGGGCCAGTCGTGTAGCTCCACGGGTGGCCGGCGTTCATCGCCTGCCCCGTAGCTCCTATTCTATGATTGCTCTCGTAGGTTTTTGGAGGCCACCCGCGCCGCAGGTGGAGCGCGCCCAGCCGCGCTCCGCCCTACATGTTAGGACCGGGGCCAGTTTTGTTGCGCACGCCCTGCAAGTATCGGGCCGGGCGAAAGGGGGGGATTGGGAAAGGGGGGGTTGCGAAATTTGCTGCATGCAGCTGGTTTCGGCTTCACCGAGGGGCCCATTCCTCGATACATAGCCGCCTCCGGCGCCGGGAGGCGCCGGGAAAATCAGCTACGCGAGCTGATTCTCAAACCCCCCCTTTGCTATCCCCCCCTTTCGGCCGACCCGAAAGTATGGGACATTTTCTTTTGCCCCCCCTCTCCCTACCGTTTTTTTTGCAGTCGCAATTGCTCGCGTGAGCTTCAGTGCGCGCACCGCCCACCAGTGTCGGTCTTCGCACGAGCGAGCCTCGTTACAGAACTTGCTCGGGGATTTCTGTCAACCGTTGTTCCTCCTCCTCCTCCTCCTCCGCCTCCTCCTCCTCCTCCTCCGCCTCCTCTGTTCTTGAACTGTGTGTCACGCAGGCCTCCTCCCTGCAGCGTGCGACACGCCGGCGTCCACCTGGCAATGTCTCCTGCGGGCCATCACCCGGGCAGTCACCCGTGATGCAGTCCCGGACGCCGCGAGGGCGGGACGCCATCGAAGAGCACGTCGGCCGCCGCCCTGCGCCCGCCGACCCCGCACCCACCAGCAGCCCGCAGCCACACTTGCGCTGCAGGGCCCGGTGCGGGAGCCAACCGCTGGGTCGAACGTCGGCATGCCCATCATGCACTGATATATCGGCGAGCTTGTACTCGGGATATGCGCGGCGACGGCCAGCGTCCCCCTCTCGGCCCGTGATGGGCACAACTGGCGGATGCATGGATAAAAACACTGCTAGCCTCCGGAGTGGCACAGCATGGCAGCAGTGGTGCCGTGCGCGTGCCGCCAAGCAGGGTCCAGGGTGGGCCTGGGCGACACATCAGCACGCGCGTGAGGCAGCTGGGCAAAGAAACCTGGTAACCCCAAACTTGGCGAAGCGTCCTGGCTCGCCTATAGGCTCACCGAATAATGTTCTAAGAACCTTTTGTGGTTTGCACGAAACGTCCGTAGAACATTTCTCGCTGAGTCTGTCGTGTTTTAACACATCGGGCTTCTGTTCTAAGAACATGGTGTTAGTTATTGGAACATTTTGAGGTTCTAAGATGAATTCGTGGTAGGCCAATATAATGCTGGGGCGGCCGGTTCCCGCTCAACTCTACCGTCAGCAGGGCACACCAGGTCCTATTCAACGTTGGCCTGCGTCGCAAGACACAGGGTCAATCTCGAAGCCCCCGCCCGAACACCCATGAAGACTCCAGCCATCGACCACGACTGCGCAAGGTGCTCCTCTCCACTGCCTGATGCTCGTGGCCTGTGCGCCACAGTAGGACGATGAGGAGGAAGAGGGAGTAGGAAAATGTAGCAAGGGAGGGAGGAGGGAAAGGAGGAGTCTGAGTAGTCCCAACTAGAGAGATGTGTAGTGGCACTTCCTGCGCCGCTGTACCAGCCCCCTACTGGCGACCTTGACAGCATTGGTAAGAGGATAAATAGGAGGAGGAGGAGGAGGAGGAGGAGGAGGAGGAGGAGGAGGAGGAGGGGGAGGAGGAGGTGGAGGAGAGGAGGAGGAGGAGGATGAGGAGGAGGAAGGAGGAGAAGATGGAGGACGAGGAGGAGGACGAGAGGAAGAGGAGGAAGAGGAGGAGGAGGGGGAGGAGGAGGAGGAGGAGGAGGACGAGGAGGAGGAGGAGGACGAGGAGGAAAAGGAGGAGGAGATGGACGAGGAGGAGGAGGAGGATGAGCACCTCGACCGAGGAGAAGTAGCGGCGGGAGGAGCGATGGAGGAAGGGGGGGAGCAGCGTGAGAGGACGGGAGAACGGAAGCCGATGGGGGGATGGAGGGCTGGAGGGAGCAGGAGAGCGAGGCGGAGGCGGCAGATTCCAGCGGGCGCCAGAGGGTGCCGCGCATCGTGGCCCTGCGCTGACCCCCGCCCACACTCCCCCCAGCCGTCCCTCCCCGACTCCCGTCTCGTCTGCGCCCGCTCCAGGCTTGGCGCGGCTCGATGATCCACTGCGTCGTGGCGCGTGGGTGCAGTCGAGTTTGAGTAGTAGGTCGACCCTGCCCAAACAAGGGTATACCCTTGTGCCCTGTGTTTCGCGACCCATGCCCTCTACGTTCCACTGGCAATGTGGCCATCGGAAGAGTCTCGCGTCCTCTCGCGTGTCCTCTCCTCTCCAATCCACCCCGACTGAACGTCGAGGAGGCCTGAGAGGGAGCTCTCTGGGAGCTCCGTTGCTCCGAGAGTGCTCGGGCCGAGATGGTGGCTTGCCTCCTCTCGCTTCCCCCCCCCCGCGGCGCGCCGCCGACCCCGGGGGCTGCGGAAGGGCAGCCCGACGTCGCGGAGCTGGGCCAGTGCGCCCCGGTCGTCCCCGGGTCGGCTGCCCTCGCTCGGCCCACCGGAGGGCTCCAAGGGGGGGTCTTCCGGGGAGGGGGCTCTCCAGGAGGGGTCCCCCAGGGGCTTCGCACCCCCTGTTTGGACGAGGTTCCGAGGCCCCTGGAGGGCTCGCTGGAAAACCCCCGGAGGAGGAGGAGGAGGAGGAGGAGAGGAGGAGGAGGAAGAGGAGGAGGAGGAGGAGGCGGAGGAGGACGCCCTCCTGAAAAAATCCTTGTGGAACCCTCTGGGGGTCCAGGGCGTCGCCTCGCCTCGTCCTCCGCCTCCAGGTTCGGCTGTCCTCCTCCTCGTGAGCTGGACGCTGCCGTCCCCCCCCCCCCCCCCAAGGGCGGTCGCCCCCGGGGGGGGGGGGGGGGGGGGGATCCAGCTGGAGCTGTGTGAGAAAAGCGAGGAGGAAAGGGAACACGGCTGGTGGAGGACTCCTGGGCGGGGCAGCTGGGCCCCTCCTCGCCCCCCCCAAGGGGGAGGGGGAGCGAGGGAAGGAGGAGCACAAACATGCGGTCATTCATGAGAGAGGAGAGAGAGAGAGAGAGAGAGAGAGAGAAAAAAAAAAAAAAAAAAAAAAAAAAAGTAATAGAGAGAGGGGGCGGGGGGTATGTGGCTTCAAGCGCCTCACCCTCCTGCTCCTCCTCGGCCTTGGGCATCGAGGATCGCTGGTTCTGTGGCGGTCCTCTGCACTCTGCTCCGGGGGCCCGTGGGGGCCTTTCTGGGGGCCTCCCGGTGGGACGTCGGGGGGGAGCGACGGAGAGCGAGCGACGGAGAGGCAAAGGGGTGTGCGCAGGGGCGGGCTTGACGAGCGGATGGCTCGGAGGGGCTACAGTCGGGGCGCTGAAGAAGGAACCCTTCTCGTTGGGGAGGGGCTCGGTGTTCCTTGACTGTTCTACAGCGTGCCTCAGGTTTTCGTGAGGTTTTCCGTGGGAGATCGAAGTTCAACTTGTGGGGAAAAGGGGCCTCGTTCCTTATTTAGGGCTCCTTAGGTCAACGCCCCGACTGTATCTCCTCGATGCTCTTCGTCGCTGTTCTCGTGGCATCCGCTCCGAGCCGGGCGACCGCGAGCGTGGATCGAGGGGGGCGTGGATTATAGCGACGGGTCCCGCCTCCACGGGAAGTCCCAGATTCTGTTCTTCGTCGCTGCTCTTGTGGCATCCGCTCCGAGCCGGGCGACCGCGAACGTGGATCGAGGGGGGCGTGGATCATAGCGATGGGTCCCGCCTCCGCGGGAAGTCCCCGATTGTGTTCTTCGTCGCTGTTTTCGTGGCGTCCTCTCTGATCCAGGCGATCGCGAACGTGGATCAAGGGGGGCGTGGATTATGGCGACGGGTCCCGCTTCCACGGGAAATCCCAGATTCCCGCCGCCGAGCGAGGCGGCACCGGCCGCATTTTGGGGAGGGCGCCTCCCCCGATCCATGGATTTGGCGACCGCGCGCCAAATCCATGGATCGCTAATCCAGGTTTGCGCGCCCCCGACTCTTTGAGGCGTCACAGCGTCACAGGGCAGCTGTGCGGGCGGCTTAGAGTGCCCAGCCCCTCTCCCTCCCACAAATCTCAGGGGGGAAAACAACGCACAGACATATTTTATCGCCGATTCCCCAGACAATGTATGGGAAAATATGGGAAGGGGGAGAGACGATAATCTAAAACATATGAGAAAGTTTAAGGACTTCTGGGAATTGTCTATTTGTGTGTGTGTGTGTGTCTCGGGGGCCCTTCAAAATCCACGATCTGCACTGGGACCGCTTCTCGGGCTCAAAAGCCGAAGCTTCCTTGGGGGCGGGGTCCAGGACGCGTTCAACGAGTTCATGGATGACTTCAACATGCCCGTGGAGATGAGGAAGAAGCTCAGGAGGCGGACCCCCCGGCCCTTGAGCCCGAGTGGACGCCGGCGGCTCGGGTTGCAAGCAGACGTCGACTTGACAGCACGCAGACGTATTGCGTTGCATCTTCGAGGCACCTCGCCTGTCTCCATAATCGGTGTCTTTTCTTGTGCCCGACGCGGATTGGGCGTGGATCCGACGCGGATTCGACGCTGGTTCACACCTGATCCGACGAGTCCGACATATGGATTCGACGCGGATAGGGTCGCGACGGGATAGACAAGGTCCCCCGAGGGTGCAACAGAAGGTGGAGAATGATGGCGGGAAATGGACGAATAAGAGTGGGTCGATTGCGTTATCCAGGAGGGAAAAAATAGACACAGACACAGTTGATCGTCGATCCCCAGGAAGATCTGGGAAACTATAGGAAGCGGGGGGGAAGACAAAAACCCAGAAAATATAGGGGAATATGGGGAATCCTATGATTTGTCTATATTTATTTAATCGCTTTGCTCATTCCGCCGGCCCTAGAGCGCTATTTGGGGCCTCTTGGGGCCGTCTTGGGGGCTTCTTGAAGGCTTCTTTGGAGCGTATTTGGGGCTCCTTGGCGGCGTATTGGGCTCCCCTGGGGCCTCTTGGGGGGCTCTTGGGGGCCCCTTGGGGCGGGAGGGGCGGTAGTCGTTGGCAGCCCCCCCCCCTCGGAGGCAACGATCCTCGTGAGGGGTGGCGAAAAATAGCCTTTCTCCTGGGGATCGCCCGGGGGTCAGCCGGGGATCGGCCGGGGTACTTTTCGTCCGGGGGCCCCCAGGGGCCGCCCCGCGCGCGCGAACTAGAAATCTTGTTAAGTAGCGACCGGAGATCTTAGCACGCCTCTGGCCCGTTGGGCCGGCGAATTTGTGTGTCCCGGGGCCCCTTCAGAAGAGGGGGATTGCGTTATCCAGGAGGGAAAAATAGACACAATCACAACTAATCGTCGATCCTCAGGGAGAGATGGGAAAAGGTGGGAAGTGGGGGGGGGAAGACAAAAACCCAGAACATATGGGAAATATAGGGAATCCGATTTTTTGTGTGTATGTATTCGTGTGTCCTGGGGCCCCTTCAGAAGAGGGAGTCGATTGCGTTATGTCTTTCCTCCATCCGCCGACGGGCATCGCGGCGGACCTGGGCCAGCAGGGGCGCCATCGTGCCGTGCGCACGCTGCGAAGGGGAGCGGCGTGCACTGGAGGAGGAGGGGGAGGAGGAGGGGGAGGAGGAGGGGGAGGAGGAGGGGAGGAGGAGGAGGAGGAGGAGGAGGGAGGAGGAGGAGGAGGAGGAGGAGGTAGGAGGAGGAGGGGAGGAGGATGGGGAGGAGGAGGAGAGGTGGGAGGAGGAGGAGGAGGAGGAGGAGGAGGAGGAGGAGGAGGAGGAGGAGAGGAGGAGGAGGAGGAGGAGGTGGGTTTTGAGCAGGAGGACGAGCGGGAGGAAGAAGACGATGAGGAAGGAGGAGGAGGACGAGGAGGAACCGCGGCGGCAGGAGCCGGAGGAGCGGGAGGAGCAGGACGACCAGGGCCAAGGAAGGGAGCGGCAACGACGAGCTGGGGCTCGAGGTTGGAGGTCTTCCATTCATTCGCCCCTCGTGGGTCTCCGTGTCGCCTGTCGTCGCCACGGCCGGATTTTCCTTCGAGGTTCGGATCAAGACGTGCAACTTGGGAGGCCTGGGGGGTCGACTGTTGAGGGGTGCCTCAGAGGAGGAAAAGGTAGCCATACCCCTCTACCCTCCCCTCGTCTTCTCCTTTTTGGGCCTCCTGGGCCTCCGTCGTCGCCACCGCCGAATTCGCCTCGAAATCTTGGTCAGAACGCATCCCAGGAGAGGTCCGGGGAGTAGCGGTATCGATACCTTGTGGTGTCCCCAGTGGGCAAGGCTCTCAAACAATTGGGGGAGGGCGTCCTGCAAGGACGAGGCGGAGGGAGTGGTTTGCAAGGGTGAAGGTGCAGATGCGGATCAGGGATTTCCGCACACCCCTACCAGACGAGGGCATCGCGCGTCGCGCGCGCGAAACCCTTGTTTGGTAGGCCGCAGCGTCGGAGAGACATGGCAAGCCGATGCGCGACGACGAAGCAAGGACCGCGTGCGACTGCGACCCGAACCTAAGGTCGAGGTTGTCGTCGTTGTCGCCGCCGCCACGTCGTCGTCGTGCTCCCTGGCGCGGGGAGCCCAATGCTGAAGTGAACATGACGCTCAAGGCGTGTGGGGAGGAGGAGGAGGAGGAGGAGGAGGAGGAGGAGGAGGAGGAGGAGGAGGAGGAGGAGGAGGAGGACCGAGGCTTTTGGACGTCTTGTCGTGTCAGGGGCCCGGTGGAGGCCTCCGGAGGCTTTCGGGGGCCCCCCGGCTACCTCTTGAAACCACAGGGAGCTCTCCAGAGGAGACCTCTGGATGTTTTTGGGAGATGATTTTGCTGGAGACCTCGATCGTCGCGGATCTGTTGTTTTTGTTCCAGTCCCAGGCCCCAGGGAGGTTTTGACCCCTCCAGGTGTATTCGTTCGCCCCCCATCCGCCCTTGATGGCTAGGGGGCCCGACCATGGTGACCAGGAGGCCGAAAGCTAGGGGGAGGACGAGGAGGAGGAGGCGGAGGTGAGGAGGAGGAGGGGGAGGAGGAGGAGGAGGAGGAGGAGGAGGAGGAGGAGGAGGAGGAGGACGAGGAAGAGGAGGAGGAGGAGCTGGAGGAAGAGGAGGACGAGGAAAGGAGGAGGAGAAGGAAACGAGGAGGAGGAGGAGGAGGAGGAGGTGGAACAGGAGGAGGAGCCTGCGCGGATCCTTCTCGGGCAGCCTCGGGGCCCTCGCGGGCCGCGCCCTCGCGGGAGCCTCTGGAGATACGCTGAACGCTCCGTTGGCCCTGGGCGGGGGGGGCGCCAGGGAGCACGCGAGAGAGAGAGAGAGGGAAATACGGAAATGAAGACATTCAGACGTGATGCGATGTATAGATACATATATAGATGTAGATATACACATATGTGCGTGTACGACAAAGGACACATTCATGCACAGTGAGACATAGAGGGAGAGAAGAGAGAGAGAGAGAGAGAGAGAGACCAAGATAGCGAGAGCGAGAGAGGAATAACCACAGAGGCATATACGTACGTATCTCGATATCTACAGGCTACGAGAGAGAGAGAGAGGGCGAGAGAGACAGAGAAACAGAGGGAGAGAGAGAGAGAGAGACCGAGAGATCCGCCGCAGGTTCTTCTACGAGTCGAAGGACATCATGAGGCCCCGCAGTCACATCGCGACATGCAGAGGATACGGAGGATAGATGCGTTGGACGGACGGAGGGAGGAAGGGAGGGAGGGTTGGGACAAAGAACAGGGTTGCAGGTTCCACTGTCGCGCCGCAGGTCCTCGGAGGTACTCGTTGTGGGCCCTCCCAGGTTTGAATGGGGTTCTGCATGGGGTTGGGGAGGTGGGGAGGTGGGGGGAGGGGAGAAGGGGACACGGGACACTGGACCGGCCTGCCTCCAGGGAGGAGGCGCGCCCCCGAGGCAAGGGGGAAGGGGGATGGGTAGCGACGAGCAGGAGGAGGCCGGGAGGCGCGCTCGCGGGGTCCGTCTCGGAGGAGGAGGAGGAGGAGATGCAGGAGGAGACGCAGGAGGAGGAGGAGGAGGAGGAGGAGGAGGAGGAGGAGGAGGAGACGGAGTCTCGTGGGGCGCCCGCCCACGTGACTTGGCCGGCCCCCTTGGGTTGCGCGTCGCCGGGTGCGCTCTGCGGCGGCAGCGCTGCGCTCGTGCCTCGCCGCCCTCTGGCCCATGCAGCGGTGGAGTGCCTAGGCGAGCCCCCCCTTCGGTGTCCCCGCATGGTGGTCGCCTCTCGGCCAGAGGTGTCCCCCTGCGGGGCCCCACGGGTCCTCGAGCCCCCGACGTGGCTCTCGGAGGCCGGGTCCGCACCCTTCCATCGGGTGTGCTCTGGCGGCTGGCACTGGGTGAGAGGCCCTTCGTCGGGCCGTTGGTGCTCTCGCTGGCTCGCCCCCTCTCCTCCTTTTTGCTTCTTGCGTCCCGCGAACCGCAGTTTGCGGATTCGCCCCCTCTCCTTCTCCTCCTCCTCCTCCTCCTCTTCCCCCCTCCTCCTCCGCCCTTACCCCTCCTCCTCCTCCTCCTCCTCCTCCCTCCCTCCTCCGCCTCCTCTTCTTCTCTTCTTCCTCCGCCTCCTCCTCCGCCTCCTCCGCCCCTCGTTCCTCCTCCTCCTCCTACCTCTTCACTCCTCCTCGTCTCCTCCTCCTCCTCCTCCTCCTCCTCCTCCTCCTCGTCGTCCTCCTCCTCCTCCTCCACCTCCTCCTCTTCCTCCTCCTCCCTTTCCTCCTCCTCTCTCCTCCTCTTCCTCTCTCCCGTTTCCCAGGCCCAGTCCTTCTTCCGCACCTGCCCGGTGTGAACATGACTCTCCCAGGGTGCCGTTGTGCGAGCGGGGCGCGCCTGCTGCCTGTTAGGTTTTCTTTGTTGACGCGCAGAAGTT